AAGGAAACGTTTTATTCATAGTAACCAAATATTACACACCCTAGTGAGAGTTGTCCTCATACATCAAAACACAGGTCTACCACTTCTGATATGAATAGAAGGCATACCTAGTCTGTCCATCCTAGCTTCCCCTCTAGCCATTGAGGGTAGCTCCGCCAGCGTGTCATAAGTGCGAATAGGCTCAAGATGATGGGACACCCCCACATTAGCTAAACATCTGCCACCCTATTCGATTCGCGATAGCAATGCGAGAAGCGAGAGCCCTTTGCCACCGACTGCCATATGCGCTCCACCGTTCTCCGTATCTGCCAAGGACACCGGAACCGATACTGTAGGATGCCAATTAGAATAGAGAAATCTGATTGTAAAAAGAATCCATCAAATCCCCTCTCAATGCACAGGTTAATACCTAATAGCGCTGCCCGAGCTTCTGCGCACAGACTAGTTGACTAGCCCAGGTAAGCTGAGTACGCAAAAATGAGCCCTCCACTAGAATCCCTTAGGACACCACCTCTTCCACACACTCCCGGATTCCCTTTAGAGTATCCATCTGTATTTAGCGTTAGCTCCCCGCCCACGGAAGCAATCCACTGCAGGAAATGGAAACTATACATTGGGCGTGACTGTGAGATTTGGTCACAAAACTGATGGAACGTGTGCCTATCGACTTGCTGTGCGAAGTGAGTCTCAAATGTTGTCTTCACATCCTGAAAGAGGCCCAGCAGATGTCCTTACTACGTATTCTGCTGCCTTTAAAAATTGCCTTATTCCTTGCCTTCCAGATATTCCAACAAATGAAACTCGGCAAGATTTGAAGTGCAAACTGCCTCTTGCGCGATAACTGAGGTGACGCCATCCACCATGATACCAGCCATGTCCATATGTGTTCACCTGGTAACATTAACCCGCAAACGTAGTTAAAATGAGTCCATACCTCCATGGCAATTGTCCCCCTCAAGAAGACGTGATCCAAAGACTCCTCCCCCACAACTTCGCAACAGCAGCACTTGGACAGTAACTAAAAGCCCATTCCCTTCAGGACATCATCGAGAGGCAGCCTACGCAGTAGCAAGCATAACATGAAAAAGGAAACTTTTAAGGGGATCTGAGCATACCACATTTGTGCGAATACCACTGATCTGGGATGAATCTGGTGCACCTCCTGGTATGCCGATGCCAAGAAAAAAACTTGGGACTTTGACGGTGCCCAAACCATTTCATCCATCCTCCCTTCTGTTAGCACTGGCATTCGCATCACCAGGATGACCACCTCTGGGAGAAGCTCCTGGGCCGGCCGCTGTCTATCTCATCTACCATCGAGGATAAAGTCTGCAAAAGTTAAATACGGAATCCCAGGCATCTTCAGAAATAGAGCTCCATTCCCTAGCCAGTTATCGCACCAAAAACTACATGCCCCATTATTTACCAACCACACTATCGACAGCTCAACCTGTCGGCTAACATTCAACATACATTTCCAAGTTGGAAAATCAGACGGCCTGATCTCTGACTGGCATAGATGGATGCCACGACAATACTTTGCAAGCATAAAAGTCATCCAAAGCGAGGTTCCCACGCTAAAATTCCACCAATGCTTGCACGAAAAGGCTGTGTACACGTCCCTTATTCTTCGCAAACCAATGCATCCTTCCACTTCCGGGTAGCACAACTGAGACCACCGGATCCAGTGATAGTTCAACAATGCATCTGTAGACCCCCACAAAAACTTGGCATAAACTTTTTCTATCATATTAAAAAAAGCTATCGGTATCGCCGCAGCAGATGGCAGGTGGATCGGGATAGAAGAGAGCACATGCTTTATTAGCACCAGTCTATCCCCAGAAGATAGAAATCTCGATTTCCAAGACAAAATCTTCCCAGTCATAGAGTGACAGATCTCCCCAAAAAATGAGAATTTACACCGCCCAGTATACAATGAAAAAACTAAATAACGAACTGGTAACGTCTGACGCACAAATCCCGTGATGCGCTCAATCACTCTGCAACGGCTTCGAGAGATTGACCTATGCACCAAATACCTACACTTCTGGATGTTCATCAATTACCCTGAGGAACGTTGATAAAACCGCAGCACAGACATAATGTTCCTAGGATCTCGCTGAACCATTAGCAAAGATAAGCACATCATCCGCGAAAGCTAAGTGGGTTACAGGCAGGCAACCCCTAGGAACACGGAATCCCATGTAGCCAGATTGGGAAATAAGGCTATTCAATCCCCTTGACAGCACCTCCGCCCAATAATAAACAAAAGCGGGGAAAGAGGATCACCCTGCCGGAACCCTTCCTTCGATTTAAAAAACCCATAGGACACTCCATTAATAAGGACCGAGAACCAAACATTGGACACTAACCTCCACACCATGTCAATAAAGCGCTCCCCAAAACCAAAATTTACACAACACCTGTAACAGAAAAAGCCAAGATACATGATCGTAGGCTTTGGACATATCAAACTTGAAAGCTACATTCCCCTCCCTAGCTTTCTTCCCCAGTCCCATCATAATTTCTCGAGCAAGCAAATAATTTTCCGTGATGTTTCTACCCTTAACAAAACCCGTCTGCTGGGGCGATACAATTCTTGACAAGATTAAGGCTATTCTATTGGCCAAGACTCTGGACAACACATTATTAAAGAAATTACACAAGCTAATTGGCCAAAATTTTAAAAATTCCTGGGGATTAGGCACCTTCGGAATCAAAACTATGGATGTAGAGGTTATAAATCTAGGCAACTCTGCTCCACAAAAAAAGCTGACAACTGCATTATAAACATCTTGTGCAAGAATCTCCAAGCAAAGGTAAAAAATTTACCTGTAAATCCGTCCGGACTAGCTGCACTCTCACCATCCATAGCAAAGATGACTCGTTTTACTTCTTCCAATGTCAGGCAGTCTTCTTATAGCCGATTGTCCCTTTCCATGACACTACTTGGGATTAAGTGCAACAGCTCCGTAGGAGCAACCTTAGCAGTCGAGAAGACCTCCTCAAAATACCGAACTGCCTCTGCCGCGATCCCCGCCTCCTCCTCCACCCAAGCTCCACCCCCAATCTTAATTCTGTGAATTGCTCCTTGCGTTCTGAGCTGCTAAACCATGGTGTGGAAAATTTTGGAGTTGCAGTCACCATGTTGTAACCATCTAACACGGGCCCTTTGACACCAGTATCCCTCCTCATGAAAGAGTGCTTCACGTAATTCTGCTTGCGCTTTTCTTAGTGCCAGTTGAGCTACATTGGAGTTCTCCCGCTCCACCCACTTCTCCACTACCAAAAGCTCTACATCCACCTTTCTTGCAGCGTCCAACACATTCCCAAAAACCACTTTATTTCACTCTTCAATAGCCCGTGGTGTATGCAACAATTTAGACCACAGTATTCGTAAAGGAGAACCAATGACCTTCAACTGCCAGGCACCTCGAATCACATCCAACAAGTTGTGTTTTGACGTCCAAACATTTAGGAATCAAAACGGTCTCGGCTTGCCATCCACCCGAGTCTTAAAAGAGAGCTTGAGTGGTGCATGATCAGGTGGATGCCTCACCAGATGGGTCCCAGAAACAAATTGCCCTACCCTGGAAATGTCTCCATTCACTAACAGCCTATCCAGACGCTACCAAATTCTGGCTCTACCCCTTCTTTCATTGCACCAAGTAAAGCTTGAACCAGAGAACCTCGCATCAAAAACACCAGCTTCCTCCATAAATGCCATGAGCTCCAATCCCTCCGAGCTACCAAAGGACCGGTCCCCCTCACTTCTCGTGAGGAGCCATGATAACGTTAAAATCACCCACTATATACCACGGGAGTGCGCTACGCCTATCACCAAGGAGAGCCTGCCATAATTCCCTTCGCTCCCCAAGTGTACATTTCGCATGCACCATCGAGAACGTCAATGAAATTAGCAGCAGAGAATGTTGGATTGCCAAGGAAATATGTTGAGAAGAGTTCCCAGTGATTGACAAGAGATCGGGAAACTATAAAACACCCATATGTCTTCGGACATGTTAACCATTACCGAGTCAAACTTGAGATGCAAACGTATCGAATCAATATGTGACATACTCAACTTTGGTTCACATATAGCAACCAATTTAAAATCGTGTATACAAACTAACTTAATCAGCCTTCTTAGATTCAACGGTCTAGCGACCCCTCGAATATTCCAAAACAGAACATTAATCATGAGATACCACTTGGACAGAGTTTTGGGACAATGTTACTGAAGAGCGAAGCTGGCTATCGGACGGAAACCGTGCCCGAACCCCCTTTGTTCTTGCTTTGTTGATTCCATTTTCGATTGCCACTGACTGATCAATATTGAGTTTGAGTAGGGGTGAAGCCATTGGCCTCCTCGACTGTCCTTCCCCCCGCAGAGACAAGTTTCCAGCCACACTTGGTATCTGCAACAGCCTCTCCTCCGTCATCAGCTCCTCCTCACATTCAACAATTTCCCCATCCTCAGTTGGTAGTAACACCCAACCCCTAGTGTGCACCTTTGCTGCGCCATTTTCCTCCCCAGCTTGCACATACTGAGAGCTAGCCACTTGGGTCGGCAGCTGCCTCGCCCCCAGGACACTGTCAACCGCAGCACCGCTGGTACTCTTCTCTCCTCATGCCCGCAACAAAACTCCCTCTCTCGCCTGATATTGTGCTGGGGCCAACTCCAACTGGGTAGCTGAGGGATGCGTAGGCCTCGAGCACTCTAGCCTCTCCCCCAAGAGACTCTTCCCATCACACGAGAGCGCCCCTTCCCCTTGCTCAGGTTGATGACTCCTCTTGACAGCAGCGTCCTCTGTCATATCAGCAATTTCTATCCACCTTCCTTTAGCTACAATAGGAGGTTTCGCTGTCTCCATATTCTGGTGCTGTCTGCGAGGTCCCAGAGCATCCAACCCCTTCATGTCCCTTCTGCATTCCTCAACCAAATGCCCCAAGCGCCAATGGGTAGGGCAGTACTTCGGCAGGTCCTCAATCACAACTTTCTACCAAAAGCCAGGTTCCCCTTCAACCGCTGCCCACACCCGTTGGTAGATTGGCTTCAACAGATCAATTTCAACACATGACCTAGCCACACTCGGACGTGTTCTAGCTGTCGTAGCCGAATCGACGAAGAGAGGCTTCCTAACTGGAGCCAAGATCGAAAATAAAGAATGTTTGTCATGGAAGTGAATTGGCAAAGCCGGCAAAGACACCCATACAAGCACAAGTGACGACTCTCTGTGGACATGAAAGTCTCTTGTCCATCGAAAAACCCTCATTGCATGCTTCCCCAGATGCCAGATATCTCGCGTCCATAACCTGTTGAAGTCTGCCTCAGCAGTGCATTTGATAAGAACGTGGCGGTAATCCAACAAACCGACAAAAACATGATCCTGGAAGTTTAAGGTAGAGAAGAATTTCCTGATGTCCTCCAACACTGGTCTACCGTGAGAGAATTTACTAACCAAAGCCAAGTGAAAAGATGATGCTAGTTTCTCTGCATCCTCCCTGGAGAAGATGACAGTAGCTTCTCCCCTGTAAGTCGAAACCTGCCGGAGCTGAATGGGGGATGCTCCAGGGCTGGTAAACAATTGGGACAATGACTTTTTCTGTGTGGGTGACCCCTGAAGCCCTTCCCTTAGTGGCTAGGCATTTGCCATCACCAACAACCACGCCGGAGACAGCCCCCATGCCGCACCCTAGTCGAAACCCTAGCCACGAAAACCCTAGCCGCTGCAAACGGCTTAACACATGCACATTCAATATAGTTCCCTTTACTTTCTCAAAAAAGAATTATTTCATATTCAAATAAATAGTTTGACTTCTGGTTGTCAGTAAATTAGGGGCCAAACTTCACTGTTTAGTGTTTTTTTGCTTTCATTTGCAAAATTTAACAATAAAAAATAAAAAATGGCATTTGTTTAAATTGTTTATGTTTTACAAGAGAGATAAATACATGGAAATAAGCATTGTTATTGAAACGTAAAAAATGTTATTTTAACTAGTCAGAAAACACTTAAAATAAAAACTCTATGAATCGAGGTTATAAATTATTTTATTTTTACTTTCACTCAACCAATTTCCCCATCTTACCATACACATCCTACCTATTCTCGTCCCTAGTCCCTATGCACCCAACCCATACCCATCATCAAATCTATCATTTAGGCTCAGTTAGTTGGACTTTGATGAGCTCAACCCCAATATAAGAAAAGAATCTAACTTATTGGCTTAAAATTGACCCATTCAAAGCTCATAGATGGATCTTAGCCTGCCCATCTTTCAAAATGAATTATTTTGGCCAAGATTGGGTTAGCTTGAGTTTTTTTTTTTTTGGAAACTTAGATAATTTTAGTTTTTGAAATGTTCATAAATGGTATATGAGTAAAAAGCAATATATTTATATAGTTACTATGTATATGTATTATTTTCAATTATACATTATATAATTAATAGTTTATTGCTCTATGATAAATCTATCATTAACAAATACACAATTATTTCATAAGATTTTATTAATTTCAGGCATGGATAAGTATTAAAGATGTTAAAGGTTTGAATCGGATTGTATATTCAGTCAATGGATCCTCTTAAAAACTCAGGCATTCTAAGTGGAAGGGCTAGTTTGGGACAGTTTTGCGGCTTCAAATCGTTTATCCCAACTTTCTCCATTGTCCTGACTATCTGCCATGCATATTGACAATTAAAACATCTCTCCACTCAGCTATGTTAACAATACAAGAAGACAAGATCATTTTCAATAGTAATTATTTTGGAGCATTTTCATCAGTATTTTAACTAATAGCAAGGCAAAAATGGAGTGGTAGGCTCCCCTAGTCAACTAAGATCATTTTCACTCCCCATATTCATCATCTTTTTTCATTCAATTGCGAGTTCAAATTCTTTTGTCATTAACTAATGTGAACCCGAATGTCCAAACTCCCACTCTTGAGGAACGAATTACGCAGACAACGGAAGGATCTATCTTGATCAGGTTATGTATACAAAAGATGGAACAACCTCTACCCCTCTAACTCGCGAAATTGCGAACCTTGAATCTAATCGCGACCCACAACTTAATAAGATAGCGAACTAGGATGTTTTGGTAGAATGGCGCCATAATTCAACGTGGTCTTGAATTAACAAGCCAAAACTTGAATAAAGCATATTCAAGTCACTTTGTATCAAGGGACATTCCCAAGGAACAAGGAAGAGAAAACTCACAATTTTCATTCACAATCATCTAACCTCTAAAAACATTACAAGCTAGGCTTATTTATAGCCTTACAAGACTCAAAGACCTAAACTTGGAAACAATTAACTTACTTTCCTAAAACTCTAATTTGACTAGAATAGGAAACTAAACCTAACTCTAGTTCGGTTATACGATGGTCAACATGACCTTAACCTTTATTGTATGAAATTAACGATTCAATATTAACTCCAATTCAAGATGCAATTCAATCCGACCATGGATTGAATCGGGTCCATGCCGAATCTAACCATGGATTCTTGACCATCAACTCTTGACTTCTTGATTTTGAAACTGTGTACTATTGCTGGAATTAATGTCCCAAGCAACACTAACAACTAGAATAACATAAACAACTAAAAATTAAGGAAAACCAAATCAGGGAAGGGCGGATTTGAAGAAATTCAATGGATCCTCCACTTGCATGACTTGAACTTGAATCATTGGATCATATTTTCGTATCATTAACGCCTTTATTTCCCTACCATCTTCACCACCTAACACTGAAGGCCCAAATTTTGCGAAAGGGATTTAATTAAACATGCAATGAATGCATTGAGGGATCTGAGACCCACTCCTCGAATCCCGCCCTTCCCCGAGGTCTTTCTGGTGTATGCACAGATATTCTTGAGCTTGGAAGGTCTCACGTTACATGTATAGAGAAGACAAAGAATGATTTATATGACATTCTGACATGAAGGCAGGCTTTAATGGACCTACCTTATCAATATACAGGACCTATGACTGACCTATAGCCGCACTCTACTCCATAAAAGCAGTTCAAGGCCTGAGGATCCCTCTTTCCTAGAGTACTATAAATAGCCTCATATGAATTAAGAATAGGCACTGAAAAAATCCCTTCTAGAACTTCTTGTCTATTATTTGTTGAGCTCCTATCTGATTTAAGCATCGAAGATAAAATGGGGAGACAGTCGTATCTTCTCTCTTTCCTTTTGTAGAGGCTTCGGGAATTTGCCGACTTCACCTTCCCACGAAACCTTTTGCTTGCACATGCATCAAGTAAGGGTCAAGAGCAGAATTTTTGGGTAGAGCAAAATGCTCACCAACTGCTTGATGGGTTATCTAGTCCAAGTTTTGAATAGATGTCTTGCTTAAAACCGGATTTAGAAGCAGGGCAAGGATGAGTTTGAAACAATGTTGGACTGGCTCAAATATGCTGCAACGAATTGTGATACTATACTCTCTTGGCTTCTAATATTGCCTAAAATTAATCTGAGAAAGTCATTTGGTAGCTTTTAAAGATGATGATTCCAATATTGCCCAATGACTTAATCATAGAATTGTGTTTTGACCATAGTTATTAAAACCAACCTAGTCATTAACTCGGCAGGAGGATTGGGTTGGCGGGTCGTGGTTCAATATTAGTTCATTGATTGAACCGTCGGGTCACACTATATAATAAAAAAAATATGTAGTATAATTAAATAAACATATAAATTATAATATAAGTACAATAATTCATGAATTTTTATTGATATTACACACAAATATAAATGATAAATCTAAATGTTAAACCGCCAAACATAAGTCACGAACAGCCAAATAGAGGAAAATTGGAAGAATAAAGCAAAGAGAAGAAGAGAATTTTATTCTTGAATCTTGATTTTTTGCTATGGAGCTGAGGAAGTGAGAAAGAAGAACGAAGTTAAATCCCTAATTGTTAGCATGATACGAAGAAAGATGAAAATGCCTGAATTAGTGTCCTTGGTCAAATGAAAATTTGGGTAACAAAGTAACTCCACAATAATTTCCAATAACCATTCGGGTTCCCAGTCCTCTGGTTAAACTGTCTAAGTTGAATAGTCATCAACGGGTTCCATGCAACTCCGATCTAATTAGCAACCCAACTCAGAGGTTGATTCACCAGGTTGATCGGTTGAACCGTCAGGCCGGACGGGGTTTAATAACAATGGTTTTGACTTCCCTCAAATGTAATAAAAAGGCAGGACGAGTTACTGTAGCATATCCTTCTCTTGACAAATGGCTTGTCCATTGGTTGACACTTAATATATGCTCAATTCTTTGAATCAGGAATTTTGCTTTTCCTCTTCATTTTTCATTCCTTCAACTCTGTTATATATGACTAGCTACAAACATCATGTTCAACCTTTCTGAAAATGCTCTTTTAGGATTTGGAATTAATGAGCCTCATGTTTTTATTATCCTAAGAGGCCCAAAGATTTTAACTCGTTGTATTTGCTATTTGCTAATATGGTTTGTTTGTGTGTCGTTTGATATTGGCCCATTGGATTACAATTAACAAACTAATTATGAGAACTCCGAATTTTAAGTTTTAAGTTTTCATTTTTAATCCATTTATATGCATTTAAATTATTTTAAGCATTCAAGATATGATTCATTTTTGGGGCCTTATTTTCTTTACTTTATTTAACTTTGGTAAAAATGAGTTTAAGAAAATAAGAGAATTAATTTTTGTTATGTCTAATAAACCCTAGGAAATTTAATTGTTTTGGGGTGAAGTTAGAACTTAAGTAAACTATTAGGATTGGAAGGAAATTGGGAAAAACTTGCTAGGTAGAAATTTGGCCAAGTGTCATCACACTACAACACCTTGACTTGGACAATTAGCTTCTTAAGTAAACTTTACCATTTGACAAAATATTAGCCCTTTTGTCTTGAGCTCTTGGGTAAACCTCTTGAGAGGAAAAATTTCACATAAACCCTAAGTCTAATTCTTGGAAAATTAGTGCAAGATTCAAGAGGAAGTTCAACTAGATTCTAACCAACCTTGGCTTGCTACTTGAGAGGTGATTCTTGGAGTTCTTGGTGCAACTTGCAAAGCTTGAGGAGTTTCAGGTAATCTTAAATCATGAATTTTAATGCTTTAAATTAGTAGGGTGTGCATGTAATTAAGGTGCTTAGATAACCTAGATACTTGGGTTGTTGATGGCTTGGCTTGGGTTCTTGTTTTGAAGCTTGGATCATGTGTTTATGTTTATACCTTCTATGTGTTTGATGTATGGTTAGGTGTATTAGGTGAGGATTTCTTTAGATTTTCTTGGTTGTGTTAGCATGAGAATCATGGTTAAAGTAAGCTTAGTTAACTTGGTGCACATGAAGTAAAAATTGAACATCCACGAGTTGGAATTTATGCTTGGGCTGGCCAAATTTTTAGCTTCAATTTTGTGAGGATTTTTGTGTTGTTTTGGTGAGATTTGTACTCAAGGAACTTGGTTTAACCTTACCCTAGAAGTGGATGTTATGTATGTGTGTTTAAGTAGTAGTTTTGTTGGAGTAAAGTTAAGAAAATAAGAGGAAGTGTTGTTGGAAATTTTCGCACAGGAGACTCTAAGCAGTTTTGGTAAATCTATTATATCTTGGTGTAGAAAAATCCAAATTGAATTCCACTTGTTGCAGTTGCAACAAGATTCAGAGTACATTCTACCGTAAAATTTTC